GTACCGTGAAACGTTTGAGCGCACAATCTTATGAGCGCTTACACGGTTTTCCGGTGTTGTGTAAGGGCCTGTTCGCACTACGATATAAGCATGTCGAACAAAAGCAAAGACAAACGAATGAAGTCAAGCGTGCATCGATATGTCTATGCATATGAAACACGTGAGCTTTTGAAAATATCCGGATTAAATGAGTCGGAAGGAACTGAATCTCTTCATTGAGCCCCGTGGTACATGGACAGAATATTACGAGCACAAGTAGACGATATGTTTATCAGGTTTATTTTATTCTTAAAATGAGTTTTAAGGAATGACATTTYCATAGAAACTGCATAATGCTCAATAAGCTTTATCACATCGGATGCGATCATATTGGATGACGGGAAGCGAACAAATAAGTTACCTGAATTTTTCAGTTGGATATGAAATAACAGATTGTTAACACCCTTCTTATACTCTATAAAACGTTTTCTATAAAACCCGTCTACACGGTGCGAATAATAATAAATCGCTTGAATAATTCGAGGCTGGTTGTAAGAGGAGTGGAAAACGTCATCATCCMTAAATTTTGAACATAGTTTGTTTTGAAGGAAATGGTTTAGGATGGTTAAGAAGCCTTTTGTTGTAGATTTTTGTGCTTTTTTTTCAACTGTAGCCGTGCACAATCTTTTGTTTGACAATTGTTTTAGCCATACAGGTAACTGAATGAATAAAACGAAAATTATTCCTCTGAATATTTCTTCAAAATGCACAAAATGGTTTTACCAAAATTGAAATATTTCATCTCATAATCTCCATAGAGAGTGTTTATGTTCACTCATTTTTCAATTTCCATCGTCCGTAAGAAAAAGTGCATGGTCTTGACTGATTAGAGCGGATTTCGTATGAGTGGGACACCGTTACCGCACGGCTACCGCACCTGGCCTGCAGAATTTTGGTGAAACAATGGGACACTAGAATTTGGTTACAGTACAATTACGGTCACAGTACAGTACCGTCCGTTTCCCACTCATACGAAATCCGCTCTAAACCTCAAAATACATACAAAAGATGAAACAAAAGGTTTCCAAACCATTCCCCTCTATGAATTGTTTTGGAGGATTTTATCCGATTTATTTTTACCCTTCGTACAACCGGCCAAAACTTTTATGCTACAAGAACATTTTCAGGTTGGGTTTTGTATCAAAAACGTCGTTTTTCACACGTATGGTTATAATATATAATACAATTTACAAGAGTTGTGTATAAAATGTGTCTGAGTAAGAATAAAATGAATGTAATCCTCGTCATTATAACTTGACACTGAGAACACAATGACTAAAATTTGCAATCATACTTCTGAACAGTCGCCTCATTTAATGTGCAGCCAAACCAAAGCGAAATAAAGTTGGTTACGCATTCTTGAATATTCCTTTATCTTGGTATAATCCAATTTTACTGCGAGCCTAAAACGGGCGTGGTATAATCTGTGATTTCGCGTTTCCTCTATCCAAACCCCCTCCGCTACGACAATGTTGTATGACGTGATGGCATATAAATTAAAGACAACCCAACATTGACTTGTGGGATAGGTTTGAAAGGTATATGTACAAAATACAGCTATTTTAAAAAACGTTGTCGGGGAGAACGGCGATTGTCGAAGGGAGATTGCACGACCGAAAGGGACTATGGTTACACTGTTTTGATAAACAAAATTTCACCTATTGGATTCACCTTACATAGAAATGTAGACTAAATGGAGTTAATGTTCACCTCAGACTATCTTACAATACAAATCAGTTGTTATTGCCTTTCAACTAGCAAAGCCCATGCCTACTTTCGGTCGTGCAGTCGCCGTTCGACAATTGACATTCGCCATTTTATCCGACAACCTTTTTTGAAATAGCTATATACTTGCACAACTTGACACATTCTAACAAACACCGCAGTGCGTTAGATATGTCAAGATTATTGTCAGGGACTGTAGGCTGAAGTACGAGTTGAAAACTTAAAATATGTATGAAAATACATGTCTACTATTTGCAAAGTAACTATCAATCGCTAGAGAAACCGAAACTCTCCATTGCCCATCACTATAGTAACAATAAAATATCATAGTAACCGTCAATATGTTGCTATAGCAACTATAAATTATACGTGCAATCAGATAATCAATTTCTAAGACGTTACCATGGACACATCTTGTCAAGTTGGCATTTCTATGTAGCTTTTGCCTTTGGTATTTTATATAAACATTGCGTTTAGCCACTGCCATGGAAACTAATGACGAATGTGGTTGGTTGCTATGGTATCAACTTCTTCTGGTCCTCTATTGTTTCTATAGTAGCAATGCTAGTTGCAACACATGATGACTTTGTCAAACCTGACAAAAATTCCTCTGTTTGGTTTACTGTAACAAAAAGAAAAAGAATAATTACGCACGGTTTGCGTTGCATTCTTACGTGACGGTTACGTTACCATAACCTGCTGGGATAATTTCACGTAGCGAGACAGTTGTTTCAAGAAAAAAAGCAAAGAATTACAAGGAAAAAATTACTCACCATTTGAAATACCGATCCCCATTGAATGTACCGTCGTGTTTTCCTTCTAAACAAAACAAAAAACAATCATGTTGGAAAACATGTTTACGTAAGAGAAAACGCAGCATATATACAACATATTACGTTCAATGCTAAAATTGAAAGACAGAAATGTTGCGTCGAAGACCCCACTAACGTACCCAACCGATACGTTTCCGCAAGTCTCACGTATGGTATGTTATAACTTACTTGGATTATCAAGCTCAACACCAATATACGATCCTTGGCGTTGCCGCAATTCGCCAACGTAACGCACTACGCCACGACCTACGTTTCCGCAAGACCGCATCACCACAACGCGCTTACCGAGCCGAATCTCGCCTGAATTAATCGGTAAGAAGGGTTTAGAGTAGTCTCGAACACCAGACGACGAGTTTGACGTAAATGATGAGTTGAAASTAGTTCTTCCGTAGTCGTATGGTTTGGTGTTGTCCAGCACTCGTGATGTACTGTAGCTGGATGATTTGGGGTGGTGCTTGTAGCGGTCTGTGACGTAGTCGGTAGGATTTGACGTCACTGAATATTGTAAATAAAGAGTATTAGTGAATGTTTGGTGTAAAAGATAAAAACTTTAAATGCGATACAGGAATCTACGAATAACTTACCAGCATGAAAAGAGTGTGGTCTAGCCGCCCTTCGTCCAGTCCCAGACTCCCTCAACTCAACCTTCTTGTCACGTGATGCATATGACGTATCCTCATACGGGATACGGATATTTGCTCCGTATTCATACTCCAACAGCGATGATGACCCGGACGACTCCGAACTAAGACTCCGATGTCTACTATGAGAGTACTTCGGGCGATGCTCGGAAACGTCGTCGATTTTCTTATCCAGAGTCCCGCGATTTCTACGGGATGTCCCGTAAATTGAGGGACTGTCTCTTCGAGTGTAGTCGTCTAATGTACGCGATGCTGAGCCGTTTAGAAGGGCGTGGCTAGGGGACGTATATGACCCTCTTTTGTAAGTATTGTCWACGTTTGTGTCAGACCATGTGTAACGGGAGCTTCCCAGTCCTGATGAGCCTGTCTTGACTGTACCGGCGCCCAGAAGATCCTTGTCCGTTGTTGACTTGTAGTCGGTGAATCGATCAAACTTATCACGTAGATCGGCTTCGCTCCTTGCTTTTGTCAACCTATGAAATATATGGAAAGAAACATCATTTAATTAGCATTTCACCGTACAACTTTCTGGCTTTTAAAAAGAGCCTTGGTCAACCGGCATTCAATGCGGTCGTGTTTTAGATTATCACATATTGAAATGAGATGACTTCTGAAATCCATTCACAATTCGTTTCCAACCGTTTAAATCTTGATTTCAAATCTTGTAAACAGCATCTCCATTCATAGAACATAAAGAAATGGATAATAAAGAGAAAATTTATGTATATTACAGTGAATTTTCGAATAAGGAAAGCTCATAAGGGATGGCGGTTAAGTATGGCCCTCTAAATTTTGCATAATGGTGATATTGAGAGTTCGATAAATGTCTTAAGTTGTAGGTAGCTTTGCCTCTTCCTCAGGCTTGTATCAAAAGGAAGTGAAGAGAGTAGCCTGGGTACGAGGCTCATTTGTTGTTGGGACGACCACAGGAAGCCCAACGAGGAGCAACCTTATATAGTCAATCAGTAGTTTTCCTCAAACCTGAATTCGCTGATGCTCTTCTCAGCTTTGGTTTTCTCTAGTTCCAGTTTTGTATCGTTATATTTGTGTTTCAARTCTCTTTTCTCAGTCTCGAGACGGGTGACCTTTTCTTGTAGAGTTCTCTTGGCGTTCTCTATCTGTGGAATGGTGTCGTCCGTCAGAGAACGCATCGGTGACCCATACGTCTTGCGTCGGAGAACATCACTTCGCTGTTAAATTGGAGAAATGCACTGTTATTGATCGTTTTCAACCATTCCCATGAGATTTAAAAGATAAAAGACCGGCGGCCATGTTGGAGGAATGAACAATAGATACTAATGAGAAATCCTTTGTTAAAGTTC